TGTAAAATAATTGAGTCAAATCCATGCCCCCATTATCTAGTTATATTTAGTTATCTTATTATATTTGGTTATATTTAATTTTCCGGTGATTGAGTAGTTGTTCTGCTGCAAGTAAGGAGTAGTAACACTTAGATTTTTAAATTTTCTCATGGAGATGTACAGACTAAGGTGGTTTTTTGTTTCATGTCATTTTTTTTTTTTTTTTTGCAGCATTCAAATTGAAGATACCTGAAGGTTGAGCACTATGAAAGTGCAGTGGTAATTGCCAGGGCAGTGGGCACTTTGATCAAGAGGGTATGGTTAGCTTGGCATTTACCATGTAGTATCTTTAATCTTGTAATAGCCTCCTTCATAGGTGGTGAGTGCTACCCAACAAATGCTCCTCAGAAAGGATGAACGTGTTTTCCCATTTATTTTTTTTTGGTAGCTGTCCCACACTTGCTCCAGTCAAACAAACTTGTTTTTTGCTGTTTACTGTAACAGTGAAGAAATTGTGGATTTAGGCATAAGAAAGGTGTTGCTGCCAGTTGGCTATTCCATTACTGGCACAGGATTAGCCAAGTGATATATGAATCAGCTTGCTCTAGGCTTTCCTAATTGGCAGAGGGTTCCTAAATCCTCTGCTTGGTTCACAGCAGTGGTTTGTTCAGATGTGGGAAATTATGGAGATCATTTAAAGCAACAGCAAAGCCATACTCCTTTCTGAAATAATCCTTCATGTTTAATGCTTCTCTGGTGCATCAGGTGATTGAATACTGCTCCCAGTTTTATGGAAGGACCAAAGACCTGCAGTAGCTGCAAGATACAAAACCTCAAAGAAAAAAATAAACCTGTGTGAGCAAACCCACACTTTTCTCTGGGGGGAAATAAATGAACAGGATCCAAATATTGCCTGGGTCACACATCTCCTTTCACTGCAGGCTTATAGATTGAAATGAAAGTCTCAATGTGCTCCAAAGGAGTTGTGGAAATGAAGGCCTTGGGGGGGGATACTCTCCAGAGTTATTTCCATAGACACCATCTGTGGTTTAGGAAGTCTTGGAGCCCAGACCAGTGAAGGCTGGGAGCATTATCGGTTACTGTTCCATGTTTCTTCTGTTCTTGTGCTCCCATGTCATGGGTTGATGTTTGCTGACTGCAGAGCAGGAAGAAAGGGCTAATAAGAGGTTTTCTTCTCCCTTTCCAACAATATTCTGCCCACCAGAATGCAAAGTAATGCCAACCCTCCTGAAAGCTGTTATTTAGGATTTGAAATTGTTGAGAGCTGCTGAGGGGTGACTTTCATCCTGATTCCTTAGTCATGGAATTAAAAAAAAAAAAATTAAAAATCACATAGGTTAAAGTAAAACTGATGTGTTTATATGGGATCTGTAACCAAACACTCAGTGTGTGCTTCCCTCGGAAATTCCATTTTATATCTTCTGAGGAACTGGAACACTTGTAAAACATTCAGTGGATTGAGGCTGGAAATATTGCTGAGACTGGTCAATAGGAGCAGAAATCTCTCTACCTTTATTTGAAACCCCACTCTTCATCTAATAATACCTCTAAAGGCTGTCAGAGTGAAGGGCTGCGTTCGGCGTTTCCTGCCCCCTCAGAGGCGCCGCATCCTCCCGGAGCGCGTGTGGAGCAACACAAGGTGAGACAAATTCTCATCCTGCAACAAAACACCACGTGGCTTCAAACATTTCTTCATCTCTCCGTGTTGAAAGGAGCAGCAGGGAAGGCAGGGAGGCTCTGCTGCTCCCGGGTTTCAGGAGTGGATGGGGATGACATCAGGAATTGCCCTCAGTCAGAAATCTTGAAGCGCAGCTTTGCTGGGTGGGTCTGGGAGGAATTTGAAAGGGTTCTGGAGATAGGGCGTGTTTACCTCGGTCAGAGTAGGGAGTGTGATGCCTCTTCCCTGCTAATGTGCTTATGGTCTCTTTGGCTGCAACATCATAAAGGTAGGAATTCTTTTTTCCTTTCCTTTTTTCCTGTTCTAGTAGGTTTTGTTGGGTTGGGGTTTTCCCCTCTCGTTACATCAGGCTCTGCTCTGAATTGTCAGCATGTGCTGGTATCTAACACTGTTTTATTAGAGTATATCATCTTCAGGTAAAGAATGGGGTGGCCTTAATGAGATTTATATGTTGCCACTAAGTATTCCAACCTATGAGAACTGCTTTTTGTTGGGAAAAAAAAAAGGTAATACAGGTTACAGTAGCAGTTTTGCTTTTCTACTTCTTGTATCATTATCCTGTTAAGTGCTTGTAAGAGCACTTCTTTCTGAACTGGAAGGGAGGAATATTTATTAACAAGGAAAAAGTGTTAATTAATGAAATAGATGTGATAATGTGGAAGAAAAAACGTTGAATTTAAGGTGCTTAAAAAAGGTAGCTCTAATTTTGTTCTGTAAAATGCGAAGAAAAACAAAACGTTCTTTAAGAAATTCAGTTTAACAGAGGTTTTGTTTTTTTTCTGTAAGACTTACCTGTTGAGGATCTGAAGAAGCTAGTGCTATAAATAACACATCTAAACAAGTGCCAGAAAGGGTTACTTCACAGTAATGCTACAACATTCAGCTGGAGCAGCCCCAGTCACATTTTCCTCTCACTTTTTGCAGTGTATTTCTATTTTTCACTACCTTCCTGGCTCAGCCCTTCACCTAGGGTGCCACTGCTGATGAAGAGGCTTTGCTGGTGCACATTTAACTCAAGATCTCCCTTGCATTTGTTAGGACATGAAAAGGATGTCAGAGTGGTTGAAATAATGAAAGACCAGTTCTGTTCTGGCTCCTCCTCCAGTCGGGTTTGTGGGTGGGGAGTGTCTGGGCAGGTTAAGCTGCAAAGGAAGGGGGATAACCAGGAGGAGAGCTGGGAACAGTGGAGCTCACCAGCCTTGGGGTATCTGCTGGGTCAGGGGGTGTAGAGACCATCAGTGTCCAAGTGTGTGTTATTCTTGAAAGTTCTGTTTCAGGAAGCTGCAAATAGAGTTTTCCAGAGCACAGATGCACCAGCCCTGTCCCCTTCCTGCCTTCCAAAGCCTAATTTAAAACCTTGAGTCATCCACCGATGGTGGAGAAGCCTCTGCACCCTGAGGTCTCTCTTAGTTACTCACTATTCTACTGTTTTCTCATATTTTATGGTGCTGCTGTACTTCTAATAATGCACTTATCCTGATCACTCTGTACCCCTGTGCCACTCAATTCTTCTCTGCCCTTACTTCTTACTTTAAATAAGTGCCCATGAAGAGTCACAGTTCTGGGAAAATCTCCATTATAAAACAGCACTTTAAGCTGCACTTCAGGTTTTTATTTCAAATAGAACATTGTTAAGCTACAAAAAAAAAATAATCCCTTTTGCATCTTTCCCTAATAGTAATAATTTGAAGAAAAGTGTCATAATTTAAAAGATTTTTCCCTGCATTCTGACAAGTGGTTACCAAGTTCTTAAAGCGTCAAGTGTTGTTCCTTTAGGTTTGTCCAAACTTTTCATGAATTAAGTGTCTATTAAGAACCTGTACTTTGGATAGGGTTTGGTTTTTTTCCAATGACTACTTTCATCTCAAAATTATTGTAGATATTTGAGTTATTTCACAGCTTTTTATTCCACTCTGTCCATGTTATGGATTTTTAAAGCTTAAAAGTGGACATAGTTTGCACTGTAATTGTATAGTGAGAGAACTGTATTTCACTTTCCTCAGCAGCCTACTGTCAGCTAAAACCATTTCAGCTGCTCAAAAATGATTTACCTTTAAGTAGAGACAGCATGGGAACTTTCACCCAGAAAATGATTCATTTCAAAGAAGTCTGGTTCACTTTTTTTAGTATTTTTTTTCCCTAGAGAACAGGGAAAAAAATAGAAAACTCACTTGCCACCTTAATTGAGATTTATTCAAAGTGCTGTTTTAGCCTGCTCACGGTAGTACCCGAGTTACAAGGTAATGAGAAGGAGCAGTAAAAGAAGCAAAATGCTGTAATTGCCCCATAACTGGGCACTTAAACTGTTTACAGCTGAGATTTGTACAAGTGAGGGAGTAAATGTGAAGTTAAAGGTCTTGCAGCAGTCTTAATTCAGCTGCTTTATGTGGATGGAGCTCTCCAGGGTTTCACTTCAGGGTTTCACCAGAAGAACCTCCAGGTCCAACAGCTCCTTTATTCCCGGCTGCCGCCGGTGGGATTTGTGGACTGGGGGAGATGTCAGGCTCAGGTTGTGCAGAATCCAACCGGAATCACGTTTGCACATTTGGGAAGACAACATGGGAAGGGATGGCAGCATCCATCCAACATCCTTCCTTCAGCTCTTTCCTCCCCAAACCACACGGCCCAACATGCAGGACCCACATCCGTCCACCTGTTCCATGGTGAACATGAATGTCTGTAGCAAAACACTGATCTGCTGCTAAAACTTGTGTGGTTACTCTTGGATATATTTCTGAGTCTCCAGCAAAGCCCAAAACAAAGTCATGGTATGGTGCATCTGATTTTTATTTACTCTTTTACACTTCTGTTTAGTGTTGATGATTAACAGCCCGGAACAGCTTTGCTATCTCTTGATATCTGAGAGACTTGATTTTTTTTTTTTTCCCAACAGTCACTGCAGCAGCTTTACCAGTTCTGCCAAATTATGAGTGAAATAGGAGAATTATGTTATTCTTGCTTTTTGCTGATTACATTCTTTCCCTGTTACAGCTCTGGACCCACAGAGTAGACTGATAAGATGCTTAAAAATTAAGGTTTCTTTCACTTGCACGTTCGTGTTGTTGATCCATTGTGTTTTTTCTAATTTATTCAGTAAATAAGGATAGAAAATGCTCCCAACACATCCTGCAAACCTGGCTATCACCTTCTCTTAGTCTGGCTTTGGAAATGCAGTTTTTGCACGCAAGAGCTTTTGTGCAGAGAATACAATCAAAGCTTTGGCTTTGTTTCTTTTATTAATTCCTCAGACTGCAGCAGCCAGAAATTTCACTTCAGCTCCTGAATTTGTTTTGCAAAATGCAGCCACATAGCTTTTGTCAAACCCAAATATACCCTTTTTTTTCTTTTGCTTAATGGTGTTAAAAATCAGGTTTTTGGGTTCTTTTATCCAATATATCAAGGATTCAAGAAACAGGGCTTTGAAAGAAACTTCACATTGGTACTTCCCAAGTGTGTAGGCTTTTCTTTAATTATAAAGGATGCAGTTCCTGAAGCAATCATTCCTGATTTTCCTGTTTTGCACTAACCCATTTAAAACTAGATTAGGCTACAGAGGAGATCCTTCCATAGCAAGGTGATTAGATTTCTTTACTTGGAGTATTTAATTCCTGAGATGCAGAGGAACCTCAGTTTTCTAAAATATCTTCATTTTATTGTTAGACTGAATTTTAGCCCCTTCTAGAGCAACAATTCCAGTTTTGTCAATGAATCCTGGCAGTGCTGGTGCATGGATTGGGATCTGGGAAGAGGCAGAGGTTTTTTTCAGCCTTGGCTGGGTAGAATATGAGTCACCTGCTGTTGTAATTTCTCACTCCTGATTGTTGGTGCTGCTACAAGCTCCAAGGAAAAGCTCTGAGCTCAGCACCAGCAATAGGAGGTTCAGGCTGGGTTGGCTTTAAAGCTTCTTGTTAGAGCTGGTCCCAAATGAGGCCAAGCTGGGCCTTTTCCTCCAGTGCCCATTCTTTGGAAGCAGCAGAGCAACTTGTGACACTTCATGCAAGCTAAAAAGATGAGCTGCTTTTGAAATTTGGTATCTGCAGCCTGATCCCTACCTGGAACTGGTGGCCACTGGTGTTCCCCACCTTCCAGGTGCTCCAGGAACCTCATCATGGGACCTGAAGGGAGACAGGAAAACAGCCCAACTACTTAACAGCTGCTGTTATGGAGATGGGAATATGTAAGATTTCCTGGGGAATGGCCTGATTTGCTGCAGTGAAAACATCCAATTTAAGGGTAATGAAACTTAAGAATAGGCTGCAGACAGATTTGGAATCTCATCAACAGTTTTCTAGGAGTTACTTGGACAGTGTTCACCAGGGATGGTCTGACCCCCCCTCCATGTGCCAGGCAAGTCCTGGTACAAGTACAGGATTTACAGAAGGAAGAGTTTCAGAGAACCCACCTTTCAGTGAGTCATTTGGTGTTTGTGGGGAAGGATCTCTCCTGAATCTGTGAACTCCAGAGCAGACCTCAAATCCCAGAATTCCCTTAAATTTTAAGATCAAGCTTGTGCTTATGAGCTTAGTTTAATAGTGCTATATTAACGAGTTTAAGAGGTAATATATGGTGAGGCATCCGTGTGTGGAAGGAAAACATGAGCTGGTGAGATCCCAGGAATCCAATATGAAAATATGCACTGCTGGGTTTTTCTAAGGTTTTGGGTGCATGTTCTGTCCCAACCCACCTCCCCACAATCCAACTGGGAGTGCTCTTTCCACTGTGCTGTAGCAGACTGGCCTATTTTTATTACAGTTTGTGGTAGTTTGCAGTGTACAGTCTAGTTAAAAAATATAGATATATTAGGAAGCAGAGCTGTGTAATGAGTCTCTCCCCTGGTCTTCCAGGGCAGTTTGTCTGCCAGCCTTTCTGTCTGACCCAAATGTCCTGTTTCAAAGCCCTGCTTCACTCTGATGGCGCCTGTGAGCTGTTGTTAAGGGTCTGGGAGCAGCCCCGGGATAAATCCCCACTTCCAGGAGTTTATAATCCAGCAGTAAAAACTTGCTCTAGGCTGAAACTTGGCGTATAAAGTCTGAGTGGGGGAACAACTGTGATTTCTCCCTCCTTTATTTTCGCAGTTGGTTCTACACACATGATTTATTGGGAAGGTTTTTACTGTCCCCATTTGGTGTTTAAAAAGATTAAATGGTGAGTAATTAATGGCTTAGTTCTGACTACTGGGCTTGGCCAGGAAATGGATCCACAGTGGCTGTTTGGTGGGTCCAGGTCACAGTTTCCCAGACCTGCTGCAAGGCTCCAGCTTAGTGGAAACAGAATCACAGAATGAACTGGGTCGGAAAAGACCTCTGAGATCATTGACTCCAACGTGTGACCCAACACCACCTTGTCACCCAGCCCATGGCACTGATGCCACATCCAGTCTGTCCTTAAACACCTCCAGGCGTGGTGACTCCACCCCCTCCCTGGGCAGCCCATTCCAATGGCTGATCACTCTCTCTGTAAAGAATTTCTTCCTGATGTCCAACCTAAACCTCCCCTGGTGCAGTTTAAGGCTGTGTCCTCTTGTCCTACTGCTGGTTGCCTGGCAGAAGAACCTGCCCCCCACCTGGCTCCCCCCTCCTGTCAGGGAGTTGTAGAGTGATGAGGTCTCCCCTGAGCCTCCTCCTCTCCAGGCTGAGCCCCCCCAGCTCCCTCAGCTGCTCCTCACAGGACTTCTTTGAACACACTCCAGCACCTCAGTGTCCTTCCTAAAGGCCAGCAATGGTTCATTTGGCTGTACATTAAAGTGGGATCCATTCCAGATCCGGAATGCCAGGGTGGTGCACCGAGCACCGTGTCCTGACCCAGCTCCAGGCACAACTGAAGTCCTGTGGCCCCTGCTCAGATATGGAGGGACAGGAAAAAGTCTGAACTACTGTCTGACCTCAGCATGATTTGATCTTATCACTTGATCCCCTACAAAGATATTGCTGTTCGATCTTCCAGTGGGATGCTGGGAGGAGACCTGTTTGAAATCCTCCCAGCTCAGCTGTTTCCTCATCAGATCTGTGGTTCAATGGTATCAGCTATTTCCTTATGTTTTTCCTGGTTTACAGAAAATCTTAGTATGGAAAAATTTATTTAAATTTATTATTCTCTGAAATGATAGAAAAATGGTGTATTTCAGCCTTATGGAAAACATTACTGTAACTTCTATTTTTCTTCAGTGTTAGGATGATCCTGTTTTTATAGGATATATAACATGTTTGTACTGTGAAGTCCTTACAGCTAAATGAGTGAGAACAGAAATTTCTAAATACATAATTTTGAATGCAGAGGCTAAAAATGAGACTTTTACAAGAATGAAATATTTTTGTTGAAGTGAAATCCTTTTTTTTTCCTTCCAGAACTGGTTTTAGACATTTTGTTCTGATCACAGTTAAATCATGGTACTGCCTACAATTCCCAGAAAAACTTGCTGTGCACTGTATTTTTTTTCTGCTTGTTCCTTTGCACAGGTGTCTGCAAATTCAGGATATATGGCCATTAGCATATTAAACAGTGGTAATGGAACAGCAAAATGTCCTTATTATTACAGAATTGAGTTCCCCCTGTACTTTCTCATTTCTTTTCCACTCTTCCACCCTGTTATATTTAATCTGTGAAGGCAGCCAGGGGAAGATCAGTTCTCATTAGTATTGGTGTGATAGATTATAAATTGTTATTGCAAATTTGAGCAGGTACTAAGCAGTCCAGTGTGAGTGGCTGAAATGAGACCCCAGATTACCTCCCCCCCTGCAGATTTCAAAGGCCTGCATTGGTTTATACCAACTCAGAATTCAGCTCTATTATTTCATCTTCTGCTGGGTTATGATCCCACTGAAAGAGTTTCATCTTCCTCTGTGGTTTTATTTTTTCCCCAAGCAAACTGACTTCACTGGCTCTACACAACAATATATTTTATTTCATGCATTTTCTTTTTAGTACATGAAGAATAAATTCAATTTATTTTTTTTTTTTTTAACATAGCATGGCCTACATATTAAAGACACTCAACAGCTGGTTCTGGTGGGAGAATATCTGGATGCCAATCAATTGTACATGGGCAGATTTTGTAGACCGGGATGGCCTTGTCTTTCCCAAACCACATCAGTTATATGCCACAATTCCATATGCTTTTGTATTGCTGATTATCCGATTCTTCTGTGAAAGGTAAGAGACAGAAATGCAATTTGATGCTAAGGTTAATCCTCATTAATGCTAAAAATATCTTTAGATCAATGTTCTTATGTTTTTTGAAGGAGGATTAGTTGGTGGTTTGCTAGGAAGATCTGGTACAGATAATATGGCAGGTGAAAAACTGGGAAATGTTTCCACTGTTAGGAATAGGTGGCTGTGCTCCAATCTAGAAGGAAAATATTTCTATCTCACTTTCTTAGAACAGTGTTTGGATACTTCTATCTCCTTTTGTTAGAGATACCATTAATTCTAAACTCTTAGGGTTTCCTTTCTCTCCGTTGGTGGAAGGGGGAAGGTATTTGTCTTCCCAACCAAACCTCTCCTCTGGTTTGGTGCTGCCCCAGAACATTTGTGTGAGGCTGATGGATCCCAGGTGTCCATCTGTGGCCAAGCTAAGCAGGCTGGAGGGGTCTCAAAGTTTCATGTGAACATTTTATGCAGATCTAGTAAAGCTGATTCCTTTTTTTCCCCCTCACTTTGGCACTGAAAGAGGGATTGCTTCTGCAGCTGCAATCTTAGGGGACAGGCAGGGGTTGACTCCACAGAAGATAGCTACAATTTTTTTAAGATTTGCAGTGCTTTGACTTACTTATTTGTGCCTTTTTTTGTGAGTATTTCCTTTTTTTCTATTTTTTTTTTCCCCTAAAGAATGTGATTAGTAGGTTTTTATAATTATTTCAGGATAGAATGAGGAAATTCGGAATGTCGTAAGTTGGACAGACTTAAAACAGGAGCAGATAAGATCACTCATGTTGGCAGTCTAAAGTAATTTGGATCATATGTTTCTAACCATTCCCAGTGTCTCCCGAGTAAAGGCTTGCCCAAATGTGTCTCACTGGTGTGGATAATTAGCCCACACATCTGGCTGCAGGGAATCCAGGGAAAACTGGCCCTGGCTATGAGTAATGAGGAATCAATTGCTGATATCAGCAGGGCTTTTTCAGAAAGTTCTGCCCAAGCAGAAGGGAGAAGCCCCTGGCACACCCTGCAACGGTTTGGGTTGGAAAAAGGCGGAGAAAGAGAAGCCTTCAGCCTCAGGGAATGGCCATGTGCAGGGGTGGCCCCGTGAAGTGCATTCCCAGTGACTTTGCCACCAGGGAAAGCAGCCCAGTAGCACTCCTGGAGCCCGCACGGAGAGCTCTGATCTCGTGGCACTCTCCCTTAACTGTTGCTGAACTCCAGCATGGCTCCGAAGAACACATCCTGACTTTTGTGTCCTTTCCTTCCCTTTAGTTGTATATCATTTCATGGCCACAAACTGGAGTCCCTGGGTCTGCTTTGTTGTGTAACTGCTGATGTGCCGTGGTTCCCTCTTGGGATTAGCTGTAGGGAGATCCCTTCCTCTCCCAGAGCAGATTAAATTGCATCAGATCTATTTTCTTCAGATCCTGGCATGAGAACAGCCAAGGGCTTGTAACTGTGTTGTATTTCTGAAGTTTTTTATGGTGTGTCTTTTCAGATATGTTGCCATTCCTCTGGCAAAAGCCTTGGGTATAAAGAATGTAAGACGTGTGAAGCCACAGCCTAATCCTGTTTTAGAGAGTTATTTCCGGGAGTGCTCAAGACATCCATCCCAAGTAAGGATCCTCATTCTTTTAAACTGGGTTTGCTCTTGGAAAATCCCCCTCTTACTGTTTCAATCAGCTATCAGCAATGACATCATGGGATGAGTTCCAGCTGATTGACAGATGACTTAATTTATTTGGGTTTTCGTTGCTGTTCTGCTGACACGGGTTTATGGCATCCGAAACAGAAAATACATTTAAGATGTTTAAATTTCTGGCATGCTGTTCTAGATTACACTGTTAATAATACTTCCAGTGAAGAGCAGTGTTCTATCTTTAACTCATTTCTGCCTGGAGAAAACATCAGCTGATATCTGTTGTTGGAAAGTGGTACCATGTTTATTGCAAGCAATAATGTTGGAATGCTGGCATGGAAGCCTTTTGATCCCTTACATTGCTGCACACTTACTCCAGGCTTATGTGAGAAAGAAAAGCAATCCTTCTATTACCTTGCTGTTTGTTTTGAAAATTGAACAAGGGGAAAAAAAAGAATAGCCAATGTTTGTCATCCCCAAAAATGAGGCAACTTGATTGCTGATGGGAAGTGCAGCCTCGGAACGTTCACTGACCTGACTCCAGTTCCCAAACGACTGCAGTGCTCCTACACTGGTTTGGAAAGGAAATACGTGCTTTCTAGTAATGAGGGATGTTAATAATTATTGATACATGGAACTTTGCATTCTATCTCTAACTCTGCCATTCTTTTATTGTGTCTTTTGTCTGATAATCATCAGGAATAGGTGTATTGGTGTTCACATATGAGCTCTTCTCTGTCTGGTCAAGTATCCCGGTCTCTGTTTCACCCTTTCCTTCTGCATGGGACAGTTTGACAATGGATCTCTGAAAGGAAGCACAGCATTTTATACTCATGAGTGCATGGGAAGGATCCAGGCTGCCTCCTTTGGTGTCCAGCTTGGGGATCAGTGTGCCTGGGAAAGCCTGCAGAGGCCTGGCTGGCAGTTGAGGGCATTTGGTCTCTGTTGTTTGTTGACACAAAGTTGATATTCCTGCGTGGCAAGTGGAGAGCTCCCCAGCCGGCAGGATGGGCTGGACACAGGCTGTTGGCACTCCTGCCCTCCCCAGCAGCTGAGGTGCCTTAGTAGCTCACATTCCAGAGGTTTCCCTGAGGGTAGGAGACCAACTGAACTGGACTCATCTTGGTGGAGGCACTGCTGCTGCCACCCACTATTTGGATACTGGCCTTGTGAGGAAAGAACCTCCCCAGGGATGAGCCAAACACTATCTCTGAGCCCCTGGGGGGGTCATCCCACACCTCCCACACGTGGGGATGGAGGAGAGGGAGGAAGCCCCCAGGCTCTGCTGCACGTGGGGCCCTGAGCACCCTGGAGTGCAGGAGTCAGAGCACGTGCTGGGCTGGCTGTGCAGCAGGGCTGCCTCACCTCTGAGCACATGGTGCAGAGACACTGAGCGTGGCATTCCCGTGGCACTTCCAGGCCGTGCTTCACCCCTGATTTATTTTAGGAGTTGAAGGGAGGCAGTCTGGATCCTGCTCACTGAGAGACACTGATTTGCTCTGCACCATGGAGGTGCATTGGCTTTAAGAACAGAGCTCAGGTCACCTGAATTCCAGGCCACGTTTCATCTGTGAAGCCCATTTAAATATAAACAAATAATTATTTATAATTAGGTAAGATATTAGATACAGTGTCCACACGTGTTGGTACAAGGCACTTCCCCCTCCAGCCCAACCTCTTGTCTAGCACTAAAATTTGCATCTCTGAAATCCTGACTCTCTCAGGAGCCACCAGAAAGACAGTAGCACAGTTTGTGGATCTGTGCATTTCATGCTTGCTTTATTTGTATAAATAAATAAAATATATCAATAAAGATATGTAATTTATATTTTGTATTTATATATTTATAAAAATAAATGAAATATACATATATAAATCCAGGGTTTCTGCAAGTGTTACCCAAAAATACCCCCATATAGACTTAATATTGATGATATTTTTGATATTGGGGAAGGTGTTCTGTGAACTACAAAATAAATGGAAGTGACACTGGAGTGCATCTTGTTGCTGACACTGTTCCATTTTTTTGCAGTCAGAGATTCAAGGCCTTGCCAAGAAGTGCAACTGTACTGTCCATTTGGTGGAGAAGTGGTTTAGGAGACGGCGGAACCTTGAGATCCCAACAGTCCTTCGGAAATTCCGGGAGGCTTTGTAAGAAAAGACAATGCTTTTGGTTATTATGTGCTTTACTGTTTAAAAAAAATAATAATTTGAGGTCCTCAGCTGCCTTTTAAGGGGGGACTTGTTTCCAGAAAGCTGGGCCTGCCTGATGAGGGCTTTGGTTTGTGAATGCACAAACAAGTTGAAAGGATCTGGTAGCATTTCTCCAAACAGTGATTAAAAGATTAGGTTTACTGTTTCTCCTGGGAAAAAAAAAAAACAAACTTGAAAATATTTTACAGTTTTCCTCCTCGTGGAATAATGGATTTATTTGTAGGCTCCTGCTACAAAGTGCTGGATGAAAATATGCAGGCAATAGGAAAATATTTTCCTGTCTGCCAGTAATTATAGGGAAACAAAAATGTTTACTCTGGTTTATGTATGAGCCCACGCTGTCATTTTGGGATGGTATCATGTGTACTGAAGTGAGGTCAAGAGCAGGAAAAGTGGCATCCTGAGTAAATGACAGGTGTCACAGCTTGATCATGGGACACTGTGCAAAGCAGGAGCTCAAACACAGTGATGAGTGGGCCAGTGAGAGTAATGAATATGGAAAGACTTACAAAACCTCTTGCATATGATTTTTCACACATCTGCGAGAACTTCCTCATACCTGAACGCTTTAAATGATTAAAGTGTGGTCCAAAATCTCCTGCAAATGGCAAATCCCCAAATGGATGTGGCTTTACTTGTGTAGCTCCTCCCTCTTGGGTACTGATGTTATCTGTACCCCTGTAAGACACTTCTCAAATGCTCTGTGTATTTGGGTTTTGACTGGTGTAACTACACTGGCAAAAATCCACCTAATTGTAATATTGAACTTCTGTTACTGTAGATCAGCTTAAGGACTCAGGGTTAAAAGTACAGCTGCAGAGCTCAAAGCTGAGTATCAAGATTATTTGCAGTGTGAATCAATGTATGATGATTTAGTCCCTCTGTGGGACATAAATCCAGTTGATAGAGGTGTGTCTCTCTGAAGTCTGACTTCAGTAAACTCTCCTGGCAAGCCAGTCTCCAAGGTTTATTTCTGCTGTTGTTTTGTGGATCAATTAACTTTGTTTCACAAGTGACAATAAGATTTCCTGCTATTGCTAAAAGACCTGCCTGCCATGGGTGTCTCTAGTAACATACAGCTGAAAACTGAGATTCAAACTTGCCTGGCAGCTTGAGTGAAAATGAAGCAAACAGGTTTCTCTTGTGCAATTTGGTGAACCTTCCTCTGCTCTTTGTCAGGGAATTTAATTGAATATAATTCTCTAGGCAAAAAAACGAGGGACAGAGTTATTCCACGCTAGTAGTCATTATTATCAGCATTTTGAAATTTTTGAAAGCCTACAATCTCCAGGATCATTTTTCTGAATCACAAGGAAAATCTGATGAGCCAGATCTAAACTATACTTAGGCTATTAGTGCTCCCAGTTGAGCAACACTGGGGTTTGGAAAGCCCTTTGCATGAAACTTTCCCTGCATTGAGAGACTTACTAGCCTTTAACTTCCCCTACTAAGTTCTTTGTTGTTACCTTCAGCTCAAGAGAAAAGATTCCTGAAGTTAAATCAGAAAATCTTTTGGCATGGCTGTTGTTCAGTGCTCTCCCTGGTGGCAAAGCTCAGAGTTTAAAAGGCACTTGGGTAAAATTTGGTGAATTTGGATGAGTTTTACCTTAGGTTTTGTTCACCAGATTCATAAAGAAGCTTGGCTAAATGCAAGATGAGGTAGTGCTCTGGCAGTGTGGCGGTATAATGAGTTCATCTGAAGCACTCTTTATTGCCAAGTGTGTTCAATATATGTTTGTAGGGCTGGGGACTAATGGCACAGCCTTGTAGGTGCTCTGTGCTTTGGGTCTGATTCAGAAAACCACTTTACAGCCAACACAGAATCAGTCCTGCCATATCCACTGGACCACTCACACCTCCCTTGTGTGAAACAGGAGCCACGAGGGCAGCACCAGCCCCTGTGTAAAGTCTGTCCTGTGCCACAAGGTTGTTTTTTCTAGCATGTCTTGGTTGACTCTGAGCCAGGTATTACTTGTGGGTCCCTCTCTCCCCTTCCGTTTGCTCTCCTATTTTCCTCTGAATTTTTCCTATCTGTGCTGTGGGTGTTCTGCAGAGTTATTTCCAAATGACCTGAGGAAAGATGCTTTAAAGTTGAGAAGGAAACCAAATGTTTATCACCTGTGCATCAAGTGGCAATTTTATAATTGTTTCCCGAGCTCCTTCACAGGCGTGAGACACCTCATCTTGTCTCGCCTCCGCCATCCCATGGCCTCATCCTTTGTTGTTTTTCTCATGGAATGCTGTCTCAGTCTTTGAACATCTCATTCTTCCACCTGGGATATCACCCTCCAGGTACTGTGGGGCTCAGGAAGGAGGGGCTGCTTTTACCACCCAGGTTCTCATCTCCTTCTCTCTTGTGGCACTTCATTAATGTTTGCCAGAGACCACAATCTCATTTTATACATCTCTCAATCTGTGAGTACAGTGTTCTTGAGGTGCTCTCTCCTTTTCATATTTAGGTTTTCTGGGAGGCTGCTCTCCTCTTGTTCTAGAACAAGTTCTCAGCAGGTTTGGGGCCATGTGCCTGTCCCTGTGGTCACGACCTTTCTTTGCATGTGAAGTCCTCCAGTATTTTCCTACTAATCTTGCAGAGCTCCCCGGGGGAAGGTCAGGCTTGTTCCTGCCAAGGGGAAGAGTGGAAAGGAAGGAGTTTTCCATCACCTGTAGAGGTAGGAGTGGGAACACTTGGGCTGAGGCTGCAGCCACACCCAGTCCCAGGGACAATCCCTCCCACGCAGGCTCCAGAGTCATTACAGGACTGCTGGCTCCAAGTCACAGTATCCTGCTCTGACACCTAGGAAAGCAGCACCACAGTTCACTGAGATGCACAAGAGCTTTTTCCCCTTTGCTGACAGAGCAGATCCATGGTGCAAACCTGGAAGTTTTATCTGCCTTGCTGGATATCCATGTAATCCACAGAAAGCTTAGATCAGGCTAAATTCTGGCACACCTAGTGAAAGATTGGAGTTTATAGTTAATTCAGACCTCTGTAATAATACATAAACTAATCCAGTAGTTGTTGAAGTTTCGTAAGATCCCCCTGTTGTCAACAGCTGGTGTTGAGAGATGAAGAGAAATGAACCCAGTGACTGGAACAGGTCACTGTTGGTGCACACAGTGACTGGTCAGATTGGGAAGTGTGGGCTGAGACACCTTCTGCAGTCAGGGAACTGTGGGGTGTTCTCAGTCCTGTGTGAATATTTTAGAGGGATTGATACAATGGAAAAGGTTGAGGTTATCAAACATGAATTTTTAGGGGATTTGTTACACTTGTGATCATTCTCTTAATCAGATCATGCCTGGCTGGAAAATTACAGCTGTCATCACAATCCAAATATCTGTGTTGTGATCATGTAAAAGAATTTGCTACCTTAGCAATTAGTCAAAGCTTAAGTATTTAAATATTAATAATTCAGATACAGTTAATGTGTGACAACCCTTGATGTAGAGCATGAGGCCACATTTATGTGAAGATTGTCTGTGATATACAATGATTTGCAGTAATCCTGGCTCAGTACAATATCTATACAAAATGTAATGTTTTGTTTCTATTTTTTTCACTTTAATTTTGCAGCTGGCGTTTCTCATTCTATCTGACATCCTCCATTGTTGGATTTATATTTCTGTATGATGTAAGTTAACTCTCTGAAAGATTGATACCATCTTTTTAACAAAATAAGGACTGATTTCTAGATTTCCTTGAAGCCCATTGAAAGAGTCAGTGATTTCAGTGGCTCTGTGTGTTCACATCCTTGGTGTGCATAATCTAGAGGATGGGCTGCAGTATGCACTGAGATTTAATTTTTAAATTAACTTTTGACCTTCTGTGATAAAGGAATTTATGAGTAATCAGTATTTGTAAGGCAAGTTTTAAGAAGTCACGCAGATGGTTTTACAACACGCCTTGTTAACACCTACAAACGCATCACAGGGCCTTGTTTTCCTCAGAGGAGGCCATAAACCCTCTCTTCTGGCAGCATTTTTGGGGGTCACAGCTATTTATTGAGGTGTTGCTGCTGAGTCAGAAGTTGGGAATAACAGGGAGAGTGCTGCTTGTAAGCGTGTGAGCCCTGCCTGGGGTGTCATTAATGCTTCCCCTGAGCAGCGGAACAGATCCCGGCGTGTCCACGTTCGTCTGGCTCCTCTCCCCAAACACTGTTTATCATCATGAACCAGTGGAGTGTGTGACTGGTAAACACAGCAAATTCAATCACTGTGGCAACATATCTTGAGTAATTGCAGTAATAAAACACACACCCACTGCTTTGGATGATGAAATGATGAACTGGAACATTTCAGGTGTCCTGAAAGGAAGCCAGAAACCTGGGACCAATATAATAAATCTGAGATGTGAGATCCCTCTGGAAACTGGTGGAGAACAGTTATCAGGATTGCAGCTTCTTAGCCTGCTCCACTTGGGGAAATTTTAAGCAGTGAAGGCTGTGAGTTAAGATGGTGATTGTTGCTGAGCTGAGCAGACTCTGAATCCTGTGTCTTCCCCAGAAACCCTGGTTTTACGACATCTGGCAGACGTGGGTTGGATACCCGTTTCAGGTGAGCTTTTTGGGATCTGGCCATCGGCCTCCAGGCATTCCCGGTATTTCCCCATTGCCCCTTCCAATCTGCAGCAGCCTTTTCCCTGCCAACAGGCACCACCTGAAGAGGTGTGGCACCAGAGCCTCTTGCCTTGTTTTTGGGAAGTCCTGCTGACTGTTCCAGGGCTTCCCTGGCATCTGCCCATGCTGCAACTCACCCCTCCAGCCAGGCCACGGTTATTTCCACCCACCCCAGGATACCAGTTGCACACTGGAGATGTTATGGGTGCTCTCAGTTTCAGTGTAGAACCCCTGCACTGCTCCAGGCCCTGCAATCCTTCAGGGCACTCTTATTTTTATAAATCTTCTTATCCCTGTCCTAGGCAGGGGCCAGGAACAAAAGGAATCCTGCCTCCCAGCTGAGTTTTTCCCAGCTCCTTGTACACACCTGCCACTTGGGCAATGTCTTGACCCAAGGGAGCAGCCAAGCCCAGCATTCTGCCAGCAAATCCATGAGATTTAAGCATAAATAACTGACATTTCACATGTGGGAAGTGTGACTATTTAATATGTTAATTGTTCACCAAAATGGAGGGGGTTTATTTGCAGTTGTTTGTAATTAAATGCAGAAGGACTCTGTATGTACTTCTCTGACAAAAACGTGGAGAAAAGCATGTTAAAATTCAGAGGTGGGGGAGGAACTGCAGAAATTGTGATTTTGGGCTGAGCAAAGGTTAAAATATTTGGCTCCCAGAACATCCTTCTTAATGAAGCCCAGAACAGGGATTCAGTTGAGTTTAATTTTTTAAGCAAGACTCAGCAGAGGAGCAGGAGAAGTCAGGGAAGGAAAAAAGAAGTAATTTCACTTGGCATTTACTGTTTGCTGTTCTCAGAGTTAACTGTGCTTGTCTTCATTACAGACCCTGCTGCCATCCCAGTACTGGTACTACATGGCTGAGATCGGGTTTTACTGGTCTCTCTTATTTACCCTTGGGATTGACATCAAAAGGAAGGCAAGTGGTCGTGCTTCTTTGTAGCTGAAACCTCCCTTTCCATGAGCAGAGAGAAAGTGTTTGCGAGGAAAATCCCCGCCTGGGTCCTGGATGAGGTGCAGCCACATGAGGGCAGCATCAGTCTGTGCCTGGCACCCCCGCACACACATCCAGGATTCCTGCTGCCAGGGCATCCCTCAGGGGCCGACGAGACGCTCAAGGGCTGTATTTGCTTGGCTTTACCTCTTCTTCTTTTTTTTTTTTTCTTGCCTCTCCCCGACAGGATTTCATGGCTCACGTTGTCCATCACTTGGCAGCCATCGGGTTGATGAGTGGCTCTTGGTGTGGCAACTACGTGCGCCTCGGGACTCTGGTGATCTTTGTGCACGACACTGCAGATTTCTGGCTCGAGGTAACTCTGCTCTCCACCTTTTTTTTTGGCTTGAGTTTCGGTTTTTGGTTTGGTTTGGTTGGGATTTTTTTTTTTTGGTTGTTGCTCAGGTTATTTTCAGTGACATTTTAATCTTTTTTGCCAAAAGTTCCGTACGATCCCTTCCTGACACGGATTCACGGATTTTGGCTTGTAAGATAAAAAAGAGCTTCTAGATAATTTGATATTCTGCTGCAGAATCCATTATGAGAAAAGAGCAGAAGAGAAATCCTTCAGTACAGAACAGGGACTGGAAGTACAGCTGATTCCCTGGGTTGTTCTTGTTTCACTGTTAAAATTAGACCAGGATAATCACAGAATCAGTTGGGTTGGAAAAGATCTCCAAGATTGAGTCCAACCTTTGATCAATCACCACCTTGTCAGCTAAACCAGAGCACTGAGTGCCACATCCAGTTGGTCCTTGAACAGATCCAGGGCTGGGGACTCCACCACCTCCCTGGTGATGGAAGGGACTCCTCTACCTCTCTACAAATTTAGCAGCCAAAATTTTGCCTAATTCTCCTATGATTCTATGACTCTCCAAATTGGCTTTACTGCTGTCATCATGCACCCCCCTGTGTTGAGCCAAGGGTACCTCTGCATTAAACACTTAAGGCTGGAGACACTCAAGCTGTCCCTGAACAAGATATCACAGGTACCTACTGGCAGAAAAGAAGTTTCTTCCCCTGTGCTGAAGGAGAAGTCCCTTCCTTGAACCTAAATATCAATGTTTAGAAGTGTTTAAGTGTTCAGTTCTGCACTGTGGTCATACAGACTTGCTGCTAGGTTTCTTGAAAGACAAACACAAATTATGTTTCCTTCAATAGAGTTTTCTTGAGTTTATAACATGGGGATTGAGAGCACAGTTTCATCACCTGTTTTGGTGGCAGTGCCTAAAAGCAGCCCTTTTAGTTTATTATTTATCACTGTCCATTTTTGCTCCTCGTACTCAGTCTGTTATATTGGACCAAGTAATTGTGGGGTCATAAAGTTGGGATTGGTCCAGATTAAACAAGTTTTTTTGTTGAGTTACCTCTAATCTTGAATTTCTCTGTGTTCCAATTAACTGAGGGCCCTACAGACATTTGAGCTGGAAACTGGTAGGACAGCACTTGGATGGAAACTGAAGTTGAGTACCAGCATGACTTAATCCTGCCACTCAAAAAAAGAAGGGGAAAAAATAATTAATCAAAGTGCTTGTTTAAAACTTAGGCTTGGCACCTGAGGCTTTGCTCACACTTGAGAACAGCTGTTCTGCTCAGCCGTGCCCAAGGTGGTTCCTAATGGAACATGCAGAGCTCTGTAGGGTTCATTGAGGGGAGAAGCAGCAATTACAACCTTTCTGAGTGGGATAGAGACCAGCACTAAGATCTCCTGCTCTCAAAAAGGAGAAAACAGAAGCTGAATTAGGCCCAGAGGAGGGTCAGTAACAGGCATGTACCAGAACACCTGTGTGAGAGGGGCCACCACCACTCCTGAGCAGCTTCTCTTGGACTCAGCCTGTCTGGAGTCTGGTAGAAAAATGAGGAATTACCTCTGCTGGCAAGAGCACTTTGTGTTTCCACAACACTTGGATATTCTGGTTGGAGAGCTGCTCTTTAGGCCTTTGATACAGAGTCCTTTCCTTTAGGATGAAAGGAGAAATATAAACAAAGCATCTGTTCTGATGCTGCTTTATTAGGTACCAGTAACATGCTTGTTTTACATGTCAAACTGGGAGGAGATTTTCTTCCTGCTTAGGTGGAAGATGAGTCTTTATTTATGAAAGCACAGAATTTATATCAGAGAATATTTACAATACATTTGGTGGTTTCTATTCTCTGCAGGCAGCCAAAATGTTTAATTATGCTCACTGGGAGAAAACCTGCAATATACTCTTTATCATCTTCTCTATCGCATTCTTCATCACCAGGATCATCCTGTTCCCCTTCTGGTAAGCAACATTTAGTGGAGTCACAGGCTTTTACTTCATTCCCACTTCCCCTGAGAGGTTACTGTTGGTTGGGATGGGAAAAGGCAAGGAATGGATTGGACTTTAAAGAGCAGAAGCAGAATTGTCATTATTGTTGGCTACTAAGGGATAGCAAGAAGAGTTGACAGAAACTGTCATTTTCTTTAAAAGTTCTTAAGTGAAAATAGTCTTAAAGGAGCCTCTTGAAGATCTGCTAACCTAAATAAAGGCTTTTATGTATTATTTAACTTGTTGTAAATCGTAGTTAAATGCTATGAGCTCCTGCATTTTCAAGGGGGTTGAGCTACTTAACCAGGAGAAATCATTTTCCCTTTCATTCCACCCCTCCTGCTGCAGCTGCAAAGTCAGAGTATGTGACTGTAGTTCAATTTTTGTAGAATCTTCTTTCTGCTCCCCAGTTCTGGGGTGGTGCCTCACCTCACTCACCCACGCGAGGAGCACTCTGAGGAGTGAAGGTGAACCAATTAATTCATGAAGTCAACACAAATAAATCTTAACTTGCTAAATACTTGGATGCCTTTGGAGTGCCATAATTTAATCTGCTTTGGAGTATCCACATGGGTGCTTACTGTGCTTGGTGTGTTTAGCTATTAAAAGTGTTTAATGTGTTTCACATTCACAGCCCTAATTTGCCTTCGTGCCCCTCCCTGCACGTGGACAAACCCTTAGAGGCTCAAGCTGCTTAAATTAAGGGTTCTGAACACTGATCAACACAAGGCTTTAATTTCCTGTAGTATTTTCCTTCAGAAAGGCTGATGTCTTTCACTTTATTGTGATTTTCTGATTAACTGTACAAGTGATCTCCAATCATTTTGCTTCACTGAGTTTCTTGTTCTACAGTTCTTGAGCTCAGAAGCAAAACATGAGATTAAAGGGACTCAAAAAGCCCCAAATAATATGGAAGTAGTGAAGTCTGAAGATGGACAAAACATATGTTAATTAACAAAAAGCCCTGTAGCAAATCCTGTAGGATTTTCTCTGGAGTGTGGATTTCAGATTAGGGAGAATTTACATTAAAAAAGGCCTAGACAAGCTCTGAGTTGCACAGTATCCAGACCACACAGAGATGAAGATCTAAAAAACAGGGCTTTTTTTCTAACCTCATTTAGAATACTTTCATGCCAGACTCAGATTTCTCATCTTCTGAAGTCTGTATTTCAGTGGAGATGCATAATCTAGTTAAGACAGATCTCGTTAATTAATCTGCCATTTTTGCAGAGCTTTTTAATATTACTCAGTTGGGACTGTGACATTAGAAATAAGTGTAAATAGAGAAGAAATCTTGCACTGTAACAGTGACCTTTGTTTTTTAGGATTCTTCGTGCCACACTCTATCTGCCAACCTACTATTCCACGACTCCTGTCATAGCCTATTTTTTATTCAATGGGATGCTGTTGACCCTCCAAGGCCTGCATTTATACTGGGGTTACTTAATCTACAAGATTTTGAAAAGGTTCGTTTTCCTAAAGGTAAGAAATTTCTCTTCTTCATAAAGATGTGTGAAGTATCAAACAGATTATAATACTTCCAATAGATTAACTTGGAATTTATTAATGTTTTCCTGAACTTTCAAGTCGGCATTTTTTATGGGGATCTGCAAAGTATAGAGATGTTCAAATGTGCTTTGTCCCTTTCACTGTCAGACCTCAAGTCATAGGTCAGAATATCAAAACCTCAACTAGAACCTTTTTTTTTTGTCTGTATCTGATGTTTTGCACTGATAGTAAATGAGAAATGAGCTCCCCTCAGAACTGAAGCCCAAAGGTGGTGCAGAACTCTTTAGGAATTCCTGTGTTCCAAGTGAAAGGAATCTTTTGTCACTGGACTTTGTAGGAATGTACCAAAACAAAGGAGAGGAGAGATGAGAGATGAGATCTTTGACTACAAGTTTTCTGCAGTAGTTAAAGTTCCTCAGGTTTGTCTAAATCTGAGGTCAACTAAACTTGAGCACTGGTTTTGGATTAAGAAAACCATACGAAGCTGAACTAGTATTATATTATGGCACAATTAAATACTGTGCTATTCAGCTGGAGCAGAGAAACAGTGCAAGTATGCTGCTGCATAATCTGCTTTGACCTTGGAGAGAAAACTCATGTGGGAAAAACCTCTAAAGAAAACTGCCATTTATGTCTTGTTTGATTGCCTGAGGTAGTAACATTTTTCTTGTGCCATGAAGTGGCAGTGGGGTGCAGTGTAGGTAAAACACTGAGCAAAAAACATTAAAGAGAAGGACTTGGGAGAATGTCTCTAAGACTTGGGATAAGCATTGACAAGTATCTTTTTCTAGTTAAGATGAAACTTAAATCATGCTGCTGAAAAATGGTATTTCTTTTGAGGCTCAAGAAGCAAAAGTTACTTTAACTGACTCTGTCCTTTTATCTGAAGCAGTTAATGCTGTGAAGAATCTGAAGGAAATAGAAATATTACTGTCTCCTGTATTTAATTGTTGGTTTACTGCTAACAGAAACCATCTTATAATTATTGGATTCTATAAGATCTCATGCAAATAAACAGCTGGGTATCACAGGGAGACCCAATGTCTGCCCTGGAAGAAAACTGCAGTTCCAAACTCAGCAAACAGCTGCACATAAGGGACAAATCTGTGGAAGGAATGGTTTGGGTCATTCTGCTGCTAAAACAAGCTTCTCTGTTCTCTTAGACACTGAAAAGCTTGTAAATTTTACATGTCATTTACCTCTGTTTGACTAATTACAAAATTATTTCTGGCCTGACTTATGGAGTGTGAAAGGGATTTACTTCTTGTTTTCTTTTGTGATGTTGGCCGTGTCTCTGTGCTGTTCTTGCTCAACCCCTCTGATGAAATGGAGAGACATCCCCCTGCCCTGCAGCAGAGCTCTCCATCCATGCTGCTTGAGGTTCTGAGAGTGCACAGAGGTGGCACAGAGGACATGGCCAGCCCAGCTATATAAGGCCACCCTGCCCTGCTCGTGTGCCTTTGTCAGGGGCAGAGATGTTTCATTTCCACATCGGAGCTTTGTCGCGTCCGTCACTGCTGAAAAATGGGAAAGCACCAAGCCTGCATCCCTACCACGGATTTCTGATTCCTTATACAGCTCTCTGAGAAGAAGGCTTTCCAAATAACATTTTTACAGTGGTAGCAGCAGCAGCCTGAGCCCTTTTCAGTCTGGATGACTTCAGCTGGCTTGCATGTGCAGCCTGTTTTCCATAGCGGTGGCAAACTTGGCTGTGAAAGCAGCCGGTGCCTCCAGAGCTGGAAAGGGAACGTTGACAAGAATGGTGTTGGCAAGGCAGTGTTTTTATACCAACATCTTTGTTAGAGACACACTCCACACAAATAGCTGCTGCTATTTTAGGGAAATACCAGTAGACCATCATCCTTGTGTCAGAAGGGGTTTGTCTCTCTGCCCGAGGCTCTTAAGTTTTCATTCAGAAAACAGGCAATTTTTGGTGTTTTTCTTGAAGCAACAGTTTTAGCTCCTTCAGATGGAAAAATGAAGTCATGGTGGAACTGGGAATAGAGGCTCATGTTGTTGTTTAACTGAAGGAAGCTCAGAGCAGAGGAGGGTGTAAGGAATTTTTTCAGTGCCCTCTGTGCCTTGAGCCACCCTGGGGTTTTGGGGTCACTGCAGCCTCGAGGGTCGGTTCCTCCATGCAGGAGGAGATGGCTCTTGGCTGAGACTGGCTGCTCAGAAGCTCTTCATCTCAGATGTCACCTCCTCTCTGCACCAGTGAAGGGCACAGTTATCCTCAGTCCTCTGGGATAGCTCAGCTGACTGATTTGCTTCAGCAAAAAGGAACTCGGACCACAAATCTTGTGGTTTTTCTCCTCCCAAACGCTGCAGCCAGAGATGAATGAGAATGAGGGAAAAGGGAAGAAGGGAGATGATCTTACTCTGTCCATCTGTGTCCTGTTTCCTCAGCCATGGGGGTCTTTGGTGGCACAGAGCAGCACTGGTGGTCTCCATGCTCACAGCACTGGTGCCACCTTTCCCTTGGCCCAGTCCTCCAGGAATTCCCCCCTAACAAGGGGGAATTCTGCACCCACAAGCTGAGCTGCACTCAGCTACTTCACATTAAGCAGCTCTTTATTTTCCATGGTGGCAAACTTGAGGGTGCAAGAAAACTAAATTTTTCAAATCCGTTATTCTTACTTCTGAAAAACATAAAATATTCCCTAAATGCCCTTTCCCATATGACATTTGTGACCCTGTGGATGAGTGAGGCATGCAGGAAAATCCCCTCAAGGTCGGACCTGTAGCCGTGTATCAGTTGTGCTGTGAGAGGAAGGAGAATATCCTTCAGAGCAATTTCCTTTCAAGTTGGGTCAGGCAATTGCAACGTTTGCTGCCATCTTGATGTCCAAGGCCTTTTTGTTGCTAGGAAACTCCCCGTGTTTCTGTAATATTGTTCAATTACATGGTTAAATTACCCACTTGTATCGAGTTTCAAGCACCACTGAAACATGTCTAGTCATCATGTCTGCACATATGAGAATATTTTAGGAAAATTGAAAAAACATACAGAGGAGTATGTACATGTGCACTGATTTAAACCATCTCGCCAGGAAAATCCCATGGAGATCTAACATTTTATTTCCAAGGTCACAAAGAGGGGGTGAATGACAGCAGCTTATAGCTACGTTATTATGGCAAATTAAGATGTAAAATATATGTTAAACTCATTACACACTGAGTTAAGGTTTTGAGACTTCGGTGCTTTAAGTCTCGAAAAATATGTGTAAGTTATAGGAAATGGGAATGGTGTCCACATGACTGGGATACCTCAGGGCTGATGCAAAGTCCATCAAAGGAGGGCAGTGACAGGTTTCTAACTGGCTCTGATGTGACCAGGAGGAGGTTTTCTTTCTCCTGTAATGGTTTTGTCACCGTCAGAGCACCTTCAAGTAACACAATGAGCTGCTCACTGGTGGTTGCTGTTATTTAGGAGTCATCAGGGTCACTTTTGTTGGATTCCCTCTGGTTCTTTCCTCTTCCTGCAGCAGAAAAGTCCCTGCACTGCTGTAGAGCAGGACTTTGTACCTGTCACTCTTTAAAACTCTGTGTATCCTCAATATGCCTTTGGCATTTTGTACTTGGTAAGCAGGTTTTTAGAAGCTTTGGTTGGGTGTATCCTTGTCTATGGTTTGTTCATTCCTTATTTGATCCAAATTCCCAAGGAAACAGTGCAAGTTGACTAACAACAGAGTAGAGGAAGCTGAAAACGATAAGAAAATACTATTTTGGGGTTGAAATGAGAGCTGGGAGGTGCTTGGTATGACAGTTCTGCTGTTTCCAGGCATCATTATCCCACTGCAGCATTTTGTGCTTTTTCCTCTTATGTTTTTTTTTAATCTGTATCCTTTAGAATCAGGCCATGGACCCACAGTGGTTAAAACCTCCTGGTTTAGCTGAATTAAACAAGAGTCACTCATCAGTTCTCTGAGTGCTGTGGCTGTAGACACTCACCTCTCCTGTCACCTCTGGGCTGTTGGGGGAGCTCAGACACACCTTGACTGAGCTGGGCCTGACTTCTCTAGCAGATAAACTCAGCCTTAGCTTGAGCTGTGAAGGGTCATCACCAACCACACTGTGTGTCCATACACGGTGGAGTTACTGGGATGGGAAAAGGAAGCATGGAATGAAATGCATAGTCAGTTTTCACATGTACAGCAGTTTATTGGGCTCCTAAAAAGTCAGGCCTTCAGCTGATTCCTTTTTTTCCCTCCTTTTGGAAGCAATAAAAAAAAAAAATCTATTTTCGGGACATTTATAATGAGAAAATGAAGTTTAATGAGAACTAGCACATTCAGTGGGAAGTCCTTCAGTTCAGAAAAATGCCATATTACAGGAGTTAAACAGAGGACAGGGTTTATTTCCTATCCTAGAGGCATCTAAGTTTTGTTTTCTTTCATTTACATGCTTTGTTAGGCCTGTGCTGCCCCATGTCGAGGTGGTGGTAAAACAGACCAAGAGGTGCACTTGCCTTAATTCCAAGTGGTTGTTTTAAAAGCAGTAACATATTTTGGAGGATAATGATCATCTAGTTAGTTACAATTTCCTGACTGTGGAACTGGGAAGTTGTGGAAAAGTTTTTACTGGAGGTTTTGTGGTTCTAGGCTGGGAAGGGCCAGTGCACACTGATGTCCTGCTTTGGAGTTGAGGTTCTGTGAGTGGAGGATTAGCACAAACACAGGACAGGTTGAACTGGATTAGTAGGGGTTGGCCTTTCCCCATTTTAAAGAAAAACAGGTTGTGGAGAAGTTGAATTTGTTGGTTCTCAACAGATAAATATTTATAGCAGAATTTCTCATTAGGGGAACAAAATTAGGACAAATGGAAGCTTTTCCTTCTTACACGTGAAAACCAGTCTGTCTGGGAGCCTTCCCAGTTGGTTACAGTTGTTGCCTTTGGAACCTGAGCTTTTCCATGGCCTGGAGAAGGGAGTTGGCCAGGCAGGTCAGCAGCGTGGAGGCTCCTGCCCCAGGAAA